ATGAGGGCAATGTGTTTAAAATGTTGTTGAAGGCGAACCTAATTTACTCTGTAAACTTCCTAAACCACAATGAAATGTTATTTTTTAAGAAATGGTTAGCACAGCAGGTTTAGGTGTTGTATATATTTGCCACATGACTATAAAGAAACCAGAGTAGAGTTCTTAAATGTGTTCAGGCAGCCCACAGAAAGGAAAATAAAATAAAAGCAGAGGGTTCACACAGAACACAAAAAATAAAATATCAGACTTCAGTATTAAGTATCACAGTATTAAGAAGCTAAACGTAAGTGGTTTCCTTTATAATAGCCCCAAGTGGAAATAACCAAACAAAATGTACATAGATCGTGAAATACGACTGAGCAATAACAAGGAAGAAAGTGTTCACGCCACAACAACCTGAAAAAGCTCATCTCAAAAGGCTCACTTGTTCCCATTTTTACGCCGCGTGACAAATTTTTAGAGAAAGATCCAGAGAAACTATGAGGGGTTGCTATGGGTGAGGGTGGAAGCATTGGAGGGGGTGGTTGTGGCAGTAAGGAGTTACCACAAGTGATCTTTTTGTGGTCAAGAAATCGTTCCATTGTCTTGCTATTGTGGTGGTTACACTAACCGACATGAATGATACAGTGGCATAGAAAGGTGCACATACACTGTACCAGTGTCGTTTTTTCAGCATTTTTAGATTATACTATAGTTGTATTAAATGTAGCCATTAGGGGAAGAAATACAAACTTGCAGTTTGCCCAGTAGAACTCAGATCTTGTTGCCTCATCGCCTGTTCTTTCAACATCTTCCCTTGCTGCCCTGCCCTGCAACAGGTGCAGCATTTGTAGGCTAACATCCCATATGTGATGCATGTTCATTTTCGTCCTTGTACCTGACGCCTTTCATTCTGTGTCCGTCGACTACATTTATGTAGCTATATCCATCTCTTCTCAGCCACTCAGTCTGCCTTCTAGAAAACCCTTTCTATGTCAATTGGAAATTAAATGATTCACAAAGGCTTAATTCTTAAGCGGATCAGAGGGAAGATGCATTGTAACTAACATACACCTAAACAACAACCAAATAAAGAATAAGCAGTTAAGCACACTGCTACATGCCCACTGTTGGTCTAGGTGCTAGCAACATTGCCCAAGTCCCGTCCTGATGGAGGAGGAGAAATAAATATGTAATATGTCAGGAGGTAGCTATCACACTGGGATAAAAATAAAGCTGGGTAAAAGGGAAAGAGGGTGTATCTGAAGGAGGGGTGTGTTACTTTCAATTGGATCGTCGAGAGGTGAATAGAGACCTAGAAGTGAAGGAATGACCCATGTGGAAACCTGGGGAGAGTTTCCCAAACAGAAGGAATCAGATGTAGAGAATAAGACAGTGCACTGTACTAAATCTGGAGAGGTAACAACTGGGAGCCTCCTTGATCATGACAGTTTGCGTTTCGTAGTTTAACCCAAGTTGAGACACCAGAGAGGGTTTTGAGTAGAGGAATGATACCATCTGACATTTAATAAGAACTTCCCAGGTATCTTGACTTCTAAGGTACGTACTGTAAAGTTGATTGTGTTTTGATAGGATTTTAAATTTTAGAAACATGTTAGCTAAGGTACTGATATTTGCTACTGTCATCAAATTGTTTGTGGAGTTAAAAGGGAGGGAGAAATAAGAAAGATTGAGAAACGATTAGCAATTTCTATGTAATTTCCTGTTATAATTCCAAGCCAAATAATGCATCGGGACTCATTTATTTCCCCCGTTCTGTGTTTATGCCGACCACAGCATGGCCGTTGGCGTTCTGTGAGATGCGGGTGGCAAAGAGCCTGTTACATGTCTAATGACGAACGATGGCAGCAACATAGGAGCCTGTGTCTCCTGCTGGGCCCCCCCCACTTTCTGTCTGCTTTCCCTGAACGCGGACACCATCCTAACGGGAATCTGCGGGACAGTATCCTGGCAGTGCTTTGAGTTCAGAGTCTCAGTAAATTTAAGATTCTGAGCAGTGCGAGTGCACAACACACCTTGAAAATATGCAAATGTTACTTTAGAATACTAGAAATCAGGGGTATAAATTACCACTATTACCAATTTGATTTTCCCTCTCCTGAGATGCTGTTACAGATGAATGGATTTAATAAGCGCTAACAACATCTTTCTGTATTGAAAAAGAAATATTGAAAGTATTTGTAACCATTCTGATGGTGGGAGGTAGTGAGAAAAGCAAAGCATTATGAGCTTGACCTTTTAAAGTGGTAATAACTTCATTTAAATTTGCTCCAAACACTTAGCTTCCGGGCTTGGTCTTGTGAATATGAGGTTTCTCCTTGGAATGAGTTTAAAGAATCAGCAGAAGACAAAGTTAGCCCTGCCAATGTGTTTATTTTCAGAACCCTGGTTGCCCCAAATATAAAATGAAAGGATTTGACTCGTTATTTCTAGATCTAAAACTATATGTAATATCCACAAATTTTAAGATCAAGTATCTTTTGAGGGGCAGGGGAACATTTGCAATGAGACTGTGTACAAGGAATCATCTTGAAATATGCTGCTTTTCTTAAGTTACTGACTACATCAGTGAGCTCTATAGAAATAGGCTAAAGGTACCCATTGAGTTTTAGATTTAGAAATTGGCGTTTTAGATTTCTGCCTCAGGGATGACAGACTGAGAAGCCAAATGCTACCTAGTTCTGGCACACCAGCAGACGGTAGTTACACTGATGCATAATGAGAAGGTATACTTGCCCTGCCCTCACCGGACCACCCACCCAGGATAGAATGTGTTCCAGACTTGCTGGCACACCTTTCTGAATGGACAGGCCCTTCCGCTTGCAACGCGCCCTTAGTCCATAGCTGTGCTGGAAAGGAAGTTCAAACTCAAGTGTTGGCCTATAAACAGATATCAGACTCCAGGTGTGGATTTCATCTATTAAGTATCCCGAAAGTGCAGGCCACTCACGAGTTATTTTACCTCTGGCCAGGACCAGTGATCGCCAACGAGAGAAAAGGCAGCCCAGCACGGCAATGCACTGCTTCGAATAGAGTATCCGTTACAGCGTAGATGACTTCTCCTTAAAACTTTTTACTAAATCTCATTTTGAAATCTAGAAAGCACCTTTGTTCTTTGTCCCTCCATACCTTACTTCTGGCACTTTGGAAATTGTCCCCTATATGAAGTATCCCTAAATAAATCATTACTATAAAGCAGTTTAAAACCCGCCAACGGCAATTCGGTACAAAAGAACAAGGAGAATTCCTATGTCTCCTCCTCTGAATAAAATGATGTCCCGATAAGACAGACCAAACAGGAAAAAGATGAAAATGACTGCACCTAAAGTCGCACGCAAGAACACTCTATTCTGAGCGGTGAAAGGGCCAATGCTAAATGAGGGAATTTGAAAGAGAGGTGGGGAGGGGGAAAGACTAGGTAAATATGGTGGGGTGGTTGAAAGGCATAGGAGGCTCCTTGAGAGATCGTGGTGAGAAAGTAAGCTGTTCAGGACAGTTGGCCTTTTGACCTGTAAACAGTTACAGTCTCAGAAGCCCATGGGGGAAGCTGGCGGACGGGTCAGCGGGGAGAGGGCGGCAAAGGGGGTGTCACCCTGAGTCAGCCTTGACTCAATGTCAGGGAGTTTGGGTTTGGTTATTCATACTTAATGTAGAGTCTGCATCCCGTCATAAATTGGATGCAGACTTCTGTGTGAGAGACCTCAGTATGGATGATTGGAGCCCTGAAGATGCAATGATGGAGTGTTAGATTGCTGAGCAAAATGTCGGCAGTTCAAACCCACCCGGTGGCTCCATGAAGAGAAGACTTAGGCACCTGCTCCTGTGAAGATGCTAGTGTGGAAAAGAGCCAAAGGGGCTGTTCCCGGGCACACTGGATCGCCATGAGTCATAACGGCCCAGTCATATCGTTACCTAGCTACTAAACCACGGAGAATCCTGACCCATGGCGTTAACCGTCATAGCCGCCATTACCCTTACCTCGTGCCTCAGCCAGCATTCCTGCACCTTGTTAATGTGCAAAGTTGTCAGACAGTAGATTATTTTACTATTGTCATAAATTGGAAATGTTGGGCAATGGGGTAGTCAGTAAGTGAGGAGTTGGTGTATTTATATTCATTTATTTTAAACTCTCTACACTCTTCGAGATAGGTATTATAATTAGTTCCATTTCACACATCAGGAAATGGAGATGTAGAGAGATTAAGGAATTACTCACCATCATCTAACTGCAGAGCCAGAACCCAAACTTGAGTTTTGATTCCTAACCCTGGCTTTTAACAGTCACATTAAATTTTTTTTAAAAAAAACACTGCCATCGAGTCATTGCCGGCTCATAGCAGCCCCCCGTGGGTGTCCGAGACTGTAGCTGTTGACGGGGGTAGAAAGCCCAGTCTGTCTCCTGAGGAGCTGCTGGTGGTTTCCAGCTGCCCACCATGCAGATCGAAGCCCCTGTCTAACCACCACACCACCAAGGCTCCCTACAGCCACATTGCTTTCTGCAAACTGCACACAGAGACCTGGCTGTGATCCTGTAGCCATGTTGTGATTCCTATTATCCTAATAGGAATTTAGATGAACTATGTTTAAAGACCATCTTAACAAGAAATGGTGGTGTCAGTTGACCACTTGGTTTGTTTTGAGTTCTTCTCCACTAATACAGCATATTACTCAATTAAGTATATCTAGGTCTGTGCTAAGTATTTGATGTGCCTAATTTACTCCATCCTCACAAACTTACAGTAGCAGTAGTGTCATTATCCTTGTCGTATAGATGAGAAAACTGACATGCGGAGAGTAGTAACCTGCGCAAAGTTCCCCAGCCCATGAGTTAAGCTGAGATTTTAAACTGACCACTGTGACTTCAGAACCCACACTCATGAATATGCACAATTACTTCCTAGAGAATTGAAAAATTGTGATTCCAGAAATTTTCCAAATCATCTCTGTACATTTTTTGATGATTTATTAAAATATATTTACTTTTTTAAAAAAAAATCTAGGTTTGTGTTCCAGATGAGAATAATTCTATGATGGGAAGGAATGCAAATAAGCAAGCATTTGAAGGCTTGACCACGGGACTTCTGAAAGTCAGTGCTGTGGTCTTTGGCTGCCTGATTGCCAATCGACCAGATGGAAGCAGCCGGCCAGCTACCCCAAAAATATCCACACAGGAAATGAAGACCAAGTCGTCACCTGGTGATGCTTTTACCAGCCGAGTCCAGGACCTCCTCAGGTAAAATTGGTAGACCTCTTGAAACTTTCCTCTTTGTTAAAAAGAATTATATTAAAATCATTTGAATCTTAGGGTCCTTATGATGAGAAGTAGAGAAGACACCTCATTCTGGAGAGAGAGAAACTTCTATGACTGAAAGCAACGCAGAGTTCAGCTTGACAGTTGTCATTCAGCTTGTCATTCTTGAGACTTAGATCTGTGGAATTAGAATATATATAGCTTTGTTGATATTAACACTTTCCAGCTGAAGGGATTTCTGAGAATTCACTCTCCTCAAGTCATCTCTGGTTATAAACTTCATTCAGACTTGAAGATAATATTAATAGCCGCCCATCATGGAGGACAGATTATGTGCCAGGTATTGTAGGCTTTACTGATCCAGTCTATAAAATTCTTTTATTAGCCCTGTGAGTGTGGTCCTTCTAACTCAGACTGTGTAGGAACGGAAATGGAAGGTTCTGAACGAGAATGTGCTTTGCCCCAGGTTATGTCATCAGTACGTGAAAAGACAGGTAGAAGAGGTTTGGTCCCTCAAACCCCCAGCACCGCTGTGCCCTCCACCGCACAAATACGGAGTTGTGTCAGGCACCTGGTCTAGGTCAGCCCAGCTTCATCCTGAGGTCACTTTTCTCTAGGGAAATTCACTAGTCTCCCATCTGAACTCCCCTCCTCTTCCCTCATGAATGTTGAGTCTGGTAGAACGTGTAATTTCCCAACAGAGTTCCATCAAGTGTGTTAATAAGTCACCTGCCCCACCTGTCAACAACTCTTCTTTAGTCTGCATTAATTTCCGGCCCCTCAAACCCATTCACTCTGTCGTTCTCTTCTCCTTACAGTAGGAAGAGGATGCCCTCCTCTGCATCGCTCCTTTAACTTCATAAATTTCCCCTGTTGCTTGTGGCGCTTTCTTGGGAATTCTTGTTCCATTCAGTGTCTCTCTTACCCTTGATTACTTTGTTCACTTAGCCCTTCCCTCTGCCTGCCCTCTTTCCCCAAACATATTTATTGCTGGAGAGCACTGGGTCCTTTGGGTCTACAACCATTTATCTTACAGCACTTGACTTTTACCCTCCCTGGCCTTTCTCTCAGTCACTTGATCCCATTCAATTTCCCCACGTCCTTTTGGTCATTGTTGAAGCTAGCCCTCTCTGCTGATGAATGCCATTGTCCCAGCATTCTCCCTTGGGCTACCCAGAGAGGCAGCACCCTGCATTCTTATGCAGATACTCGGCCACATCACACACCTGTGAAGAGACAGACGCTCCAGCAAACTGCTCCTGTTCCATTGGGCCTTACAGGGAAATACGCACGCTTCCATATATGGCACTACAGTTCTCAGATCCTTCCTAAAGGATGAAGGTATTGGTTTTTTGTTTTGTTGCATTTCGTTTTTTTAATTAACAGTAGTGATCTGCCAAACCAGATAACTTATTTGACTTGAAAAGAATGATTGACAACCATAGTAACCTGAGAACAAGCCATATCACACTTTCTCTGACTTGAATCACTTTTAATAGATACTGTTTTCTTACAACTGCAAACCATATATCAAACTGTATGATAATGAAAATACAGTTTGTGGATGCCGATGAAGCAGTGGGTAGAGAAAATCATAAATAGCCTTCAATGCTTATGTTTTGAAAAAGGCTTCAAGACAATGAGTGGTTTCTACCTGAAGAAACTGGAAAAAGAAGAGTAAGTAGAACTCAAAAGTGAGTAGAAAGAAGAAAAAAATGAAATCAATGAAATGTAAAACAGGCAATATATTAAATTAACCAAGTAAAAAATTATTTATTAAAAAGACTTAAAAAATTGATAAGCCCCTAGGAAAACTGATTAAGGCTAATATGAATAAAAAGAGGAAATATCACTACAGATATTACAAATTAAACATTAAAAGCATAATAAGGCAACATTCCAACAACTTTATGATAATAAATTTTACAACTTAAATGGACAAAAACAAGATGAAACAAAGACATAGCCCTACAACTAAAAGAAATTTAACTTTTAATTAAAACCCCCCACCCAATAAATTGATTTAAAAAAAAACAACCCTACAAGCCTGTATCTCCCCTCTCCCCAGCTCCCCCCCCACCCTTGTGGGCTTGGAAGAGCTTAGAAGAATGACTTCCCGGTGTTATTAAGAGCACCTAGTGCCCAGATTTGGTTTCTGTTCAATAAAATCAATCGGAACACTCTGGAAAAATAGGTAGTTCTATACAGATGTAGAAAGTACAAAGATACTGAAAGTACAAAAGCACTGAAAACACACACACACACACACACACACAATGATGGATTTCTGTGGAGAAGACCTGGATGCCAGCAGAAAGAGCTCACACTGGCCAGAGCTGGAACAATTTGAACAACAAAATAAAGAAAATACTGCTGGATTACAGCCCAAAGTATGAAATAAGTATCTGTGAGTCAGGCTGTTATATATAGATAATTGAATAAATAAACAAATGGGGGAGAATAGACAAAGCTCACATGCAGAAGTATTTGCAGATAATTTATGTAGCTACTCTCCTCTCAAAGGAATGAAGTATCTAAGCAGTACTTCCCAAAATTGTCAAGGTCATCAAAAGCAAAGAAGGTTTCGAGAGCTGTGACAGGCAGGAAGAATCTAAAGAGACACGGTGACGAAATGTCAATGTGGTGTCGCAGAGGGGACCCTGCAACAGAAAAAGGACACTAGGTTAAAACTAAGGAAATCTGAATAAACTATGGACTTCAATTAATCAGTGGATCAAAAGAGATCTATTCTCAAAAAATTCACTGCCATTGAGTTGATTCTGACTCATTTAGTTGCAATAAATATAGCATATTAAAGTTAGATAAGGGAGAACCTAGATATAGAAGATTGGAACTCTGTGCTATTGTTATTCATGTCATTGTGCGCTCCCCCCCCCAAAAAAAAGATATTTTGAAGTCCTAACCTGTGAATGTGACCTTGTTTGGAGAATAGAGTTTTTCTTTGCAGAAATAAACAGTTAAAGTAACGAAGTTTTACCAGAATAGAGTAGGTCCCCATCCTAGTCTTTTTAGAGTGGTGTTTTATGAAAGAGAAAAATAGACACAAAACAGTCACCAAGCATATGAGGATCTGTTTAGCCAAGAAATGCCTAGGAATACAGAGCTGGAAGAGACCAAAGAAAGATGTTCTCTGAGAGATGACAGAAAGCGCACAGCCCTGCCAATCCTGAATTCAGGTTTCTAGAAATGTGGGAAAATAAAGTCTGGTTTCTTCATTGTGGTATTTTGTTAGGGCAGTTCTGGGAATTGAAGGCAACTAGCTTCACAAATTTTCCATAAATCTAAAAATAAATTTTTTATTTAGAAGAAAAACTTTCTACAAAGAAAACTCAAGGTAAAGATTGCTTTATGTATCTATTCTAACAAATATTTAGAGGAGAAATGCCAATCACACACAGACTCACCAAGGAGGGAAGGTAACAATGGCCAGCTCATTTATGATGCCAGTAATGAAAAGGATACTGTGACATTGTGTAGTTTATTATGGAAATGCAAGTTTAGTTTAACATTTAGAAATCACCATACTAACTGATTGTCAAGAGTCCTAAAAGGTCAAATTTTACCTTTCTTTCCAGCCAGCAAAATAGCAAGTTACAGTTTCCTGGAGGCAAAACTCCCAGGACTTTATTTCCTACAAACAAAAAGCAACTTGAGCTCCATGGTTGGATGGTTTGTTTGTTTGTTTTTGAGCTCTATGTTTGAATCAGTTTTCTTGCCCTCAAGCCTCAGTGAAACAACTCATAATAGGCCCAGTTGGGTGACACTCATGCGTAGGTCTGCACTGAAACTGACAAACCCCACTGAGGGGGAAATCCTACCCTGAAGACCACAGGATTTTCACCGTAAAGATATGTAGACATAAATTTACTAAAACTAGAGAGCAGCAGTGTCTGCTGATTAGAATCCCCTTGGACATCTATCTCCCCGCAGCATTCGGCCAGCTGAGCACAGATTCCGGGATCTGAGGATCTAGGAGCTTACTGGCCGGGATGGAGCAGCTGAGCTGAAGGAACATAATTCCAAGAAACCAGCCCCAGGCAGATAAAAATATAAATAGCTTTGGTTCTACACCCAGACCAGAAGAACCCCGCTGAATAACCCACAGCCTTGGCTCCCCAATAGTAGGGACAAGACAGCTGACTGAGCCATGCAGATGAGTCAACAGGGCATCCGAGAGCAGGTGTAAGTGGAGAACACAGGTCCAGGGAGCTCCAGCCCCACTCAGCAAATCTAATCCACCCCTCCCTGAGGTACAGCTCACACAGCCCGCACTCCCATCCCAAGACACCCAAAAAAGCCTGCGACCTTAAAAAACACAAGCACTCGGGGC